ATCAAAGATAACGATGAAATAGTGTTTATAATTGTGTAAGTGAGTACCCAAGTAGGTACGTTTATTAATTTCAATATCATTTTTGTAGTAACGAACTGCTTGTTTCGTCAGGGTACAATGGAGAAGTTTCATGATGTTGTTAATATTATATTCAACGTAATGGTATTAAAATATAGATCAAAACTAATCAATCAGAGAAAAGTTTTTGAAATCCATTAATAAATAAGTTGCAAATAGATTATTGAAGTTTAGGTATTTTAGTAAGGAATGTCTGTGGTTTCTTTTTCTCCGATCCGATTATCCGAGATCGCCGCACCACGAACCATATAAGTATTAGTTCTTGTGCTATTGTTTATTTTGTGGTATTAGTTTCAGAGTCGCGTCAGGGCTCTTGCTTCGTTCGTGTTTATTTACGTACATCGTGTTTTTTTATTTGTATGTAGTTTTTGTTTCACTATAGTAGAAGAAAACTTCGTCTAAGGGCAAAGTGATAATTTGCCTAATATTGTAATATATACAGTAATGGACCTTTTTCTTTAAACCCGTCTTATGTTAGTGCTGAAATAAAAGGAGTTAAACTTTTTAAGTAAATATTGTTTGCGCCAAATGCTAAATTTTAATTTATTTTATTACGAAGCGCGCGACGCGGTGCATTCCTGGCCGGCATGACGTGTAGATAACGGGACTCGTTTGCCGAGGTGTCGCACGCCCCGAGCAGTCGTTTTGCTCCGTTGAACTGCGAGGTCACGTGTAAAAGGGAAGCTATTAGAACCGCGTGGTCGCGTACCGAATAACCTCTAGTTGTGTCGTTTTTTTTTTGTTAGTACGTTTTACGTAACGACGAGGGTTTTGTTGAGTTGAATGATTAACTTAACTTTGTTTGCAAGTAATTTACGTCAATTTGTATAGTGATTGCCTGTTGAAGTGCATTTGACAATATTAATTTTGCTCGTGTGGCATTTGATATAGTTCGTAGACATTTTCCTTGTCGGTTAAAACGCTAAAACCTTGTGTATATATACTTCCCACTGCTGGGCACAGGCCTCCTCTCATTTCTGAGAAGATTTTTAGGGTTCCGTAGTTACACGACAAGGAACCCTTATAGTTTCGCCATGTCCGTCCGTCCGCCCGTCCGCGTATTTAGAAACGAAAAAGAGACACTAAAAAGAGACAACTCACAACCGTATATGATTTAGTCTACGAGAGAATGAGATAGAATACAGTGTAGTAAGAGGCAGTAACCTAATGGCAGGGTGCGGACTGCGAACTATAAAAGGTTGTGGGTTGTAATCCACCATTCGGCAATTGTCATGAACCGCTCGTAACAGAAGCATTTTTAGCTTACAGTGGTTAAAGGTAATATATAAGTGATGTCAATAGCATTGCTAGTATTTTTAAAAAAATGGTGTGTTTCCTATTATCTTGGTGTCGTCTTTGTGCGGTGCTTTAAAGATGTTTAACATACATACATTTTAATTGACGCTATGACAAAGGAATTTTACTCAAAAGATTCATTATATATTGTATACCCTTAAATTTAGGCTCTACATGTCTAAAAATAAAGATTGTAACATTTGTTTGCTATAAAATTAAACTATTCTCATATTATATTTTATGCCACACTTGTGGTTGAAAATTATAATATAAAAATAATATTCATACTTTAGTTACCATAAGCTACTCGTGGCTATTGTTGAAAACTGGGAGTCTGTTTAGTATTTAATATAATATATTATGTAAAATAAAATTTAAAATAATTATAATTTTGGTAACAACATTGTAATAAATGAACCTTACAATTATCCTACTCCTGGTATTCAGCTTTCTCTCGAAGTTTAGTTTTCTGAAAGTTTCACTTCTACCACGTGTGATTTACACTCATGTATTTTTTTATAAGCTATATAGGTGCAGTTTAAATAATTAATATTTTTAAGATGTTTATTTTTAAAATACGTCTGTCAGAACTTTTTTTTAAATATACTCCAAATTCGTAGGCTGGGGTAAGGGGTGTAGAGTTTTGGCGGGAACTTGACCGACGACGGATTGCTGCTCCTCTATTATTGTTTAAATAATGGTTTGAAATGGATTTTGATATGTAAAAGTGGTGCGATTTTGTATATTAAATGTCTACGCATGTGAACTATTAGTGGAAACAGTGAAACAAGTACTCTGATGGTGTTGTGATTCTCAAGATAAGATGTTTGTCTGCATAGACGCTTTGAGATACCATTGCCAACTGTCAGCTGTCTGCAGGCTCAAGTTGCCGTCAAAATCTCCCAAGGGCTGCACAATGTGACGCATCAACATATTGTGAAGCAGTGTACTATGAAGGATAATTATACATTGTAACTTCAGGCTCAGAAGAGCTAGAACCCAGAGCCGTAAAGCCAGTTATTAGGAAGAAGTAGGGGGTGTAATTACACGACATGTCTTAATGTTGGCAAAGTAGCTTAGCATCATGAAGTTATAGATAAAAATTCATGCTTAGCATTTCCTGTATAGGACAGTTACTATACTCTTTGCTTAGCATCCTTTCATGCTGGGGCCACAGTAACGAGAAACGTCAATGCCCAAAAACGCAACAATTATTGCCTTAATTTTAACGCGATAAACTGAGTGGCCACACTTGGGTCGGTCAACGTCATTTCAATTTCAATGCGGTTGAACGGCGTTAAAGTAAACTGACCATTTATTTATTAACTCAAAACGGGACATGGGTTTATTTATACTCCCCAGTTAGCAGGTTAAAAATAAAAAAAAATATTATGTTATTTATTTAAAAACTGCAACTTTATACAATTAGTGTTCACTATAATTATAATGACATTAATTATAATTATTTTTATTTTAACAAATTATTAAAAATAAAAATTAATCACCAGTTCACCAGCTTCATTAAAGCAAAGTTCCTCAGACAGTAATTATTAAATGCAACATATTTTTTAATTATATTTATATTTGTTAGTGGAACAAATTTGCTTTAATAAAATTGGTGATGATTTTAAATAAGGGCAAGTTTTTTTTACATTGATTTTTGTTATCAACATCACCTTTAGAACTGGAACCTGTAAGTGATTTTTTTTCAGACGTCCACAATTTATTCATAATAGAAAAATACTTTTTCTACTGGAGCATTTGTACCAGGTATACATAAAATATATTAGATTAAAAAGCAAGAAAATTTATGTTGAGAATGTTGGTGAGAAATGTTTGAATCACCCAACAAATTTCTGCCAAAACTTTGAAATTATCCCATTCGGTTATATTTTGCTCGGTCCCGCTCTCGCACCGTTCGTGTCTGACGAACTTCATAGTTTTAAAATTCCTCGCGGTTTAGGACAACGGGACTATTTTGCGTCCCGGAGCTTTGTTTGGGGACAACGGGACAGGTGACCGAGAAAAGGGGCAATCCCGTTCAAAACGGGACGTATAGTCACTTTACGTTAATATTCCTTGAATTTCAAGCAAGATGAACGTTGACGCTGCTACACTATGTTTGATGAGTGTAAATTTTTATTATATGAATATATTTTATCATTGCCTAAGCATGGCTCTGTTTGCAGAATCTCAAGAAACGTAATAACTTTTTCATTATTCCACTCTATCGTAGCCATACGTGCGACTCCGTTGCGCTCACCGTGCACTATGAGACAAACGTAGTGAGGCCGCTTCAACGCGTTAATTTGTGCGTTAATCTCTTTGATGTACCGACACTCGAGTTATCGTTCAACGGGAAACGGCATTGTTCTTGCCGTTGTAGAATTATCGCGTTAAGTGGTGGCCATACCTACACTCAACGCCCATTCACGCGATGTTTAACGGCATTTCTCGTTAGTGTAGCCCGGGCATCATACATTTACCACAGAGTACTTTTTATAACATTTACTTTTACTAATGAAGTCCCGCCTATTAAACCTAGTGGTTGTACACTGTTTGTCGACAATTAACAAATTCGGTTTTATTATCTTTTTGCACTTTATATTGCATTTTATGCATTTTTGACGATGGTGATATACAAGCAAAGTGCAATTTTTTTTTATATTGCAACAAGTACCCAATTCTAATTATTTGAAGTAATATCGACGTTATAAGATGAGCGACCTTTAACTATTTTTTATTTCTAAACTAAAAAATCTGTAACTTTAAATAATTAATACCTATGTTTGAGATGTTACGATGTTAATATACACCAAATTCATATGCTGGAGAAGGGGGGGTCTTACGCATGTGTCTTCCGCTTCCGATGTTTTTCTACTTATTAAGATTTTTGTCTTGAATGCTTGTCTTTTAAGCGATGTCTTCATTTCATTCGGTTTTTCGCTTTAATAGATTTTCAGTATCAAAAATGATAATAACCTTTATAGTGCACTGCTTCACAATATGTGGATGCGTCAGATTGCGTAGTTTTTGGGAGATTTTGACGGCTACTTGAGCCAGCTGTCAGTTGGCGACACCAACTATATAAAGTTGGCGATAATATCTCAAGGCGCCTAAACAAACGGTCACCTTATCTTGAGATTCACATCACCATCGGAGCACTTGTTTCACCGTTTCCACTAATAGTTCACAAGCGAGGACATTTAATACTTTTCATATCAAAATCCACTTCAAACCTTTACAGCGGCAATTCGCCGCCAGTCAAGATCCCGCCAAAATTCGAATCTGATGTATTTCTCTGGGACTGCCTACTTAATAACCTACACAGATTAAATTCTATGACCGTCCCTGACATTTGTCCATTTATCCATCAGTTGGCTTTTTTCCAAACTGAGGTTTTTCCGTCAGTCAGCTGATTTTCTTGTTTATATGTTGGTAGCCTTTAGTTTTGAATTAAGAAAAACATTTTTCAAAGTAAAACCTCTTGTAAAACTTTTCACCTGTGCTTTTCTTTACAGTTTAATGCAAGTTTAGTGTTGTATTTTTAAATTTTAATAGTATTTTCGATTACATTTAACTTTTATTTAGTTTCTTTAATAGTCTTAAGACAAAAAACTATCATAATGCATTATGTTCAAAAGTATTTGGAAAAATATCAGTTTATAAAAAATAATAAAATAAGTAATGGAACTAAAACAAACATTTTTCTTTATTGTAATTGTTATAGTTTTTACTCTCAGAAGGTACGTAAAGTTATATTCTATTACTTTGGACAATCAAATATAATTTTCAGCTCCTAACTCTAATTTTATATTTTATTTTAGGTTTTGATGGCTTTATATGAGAAAAATATTGATTTTGTACCATTAATAGTCGACATTACTAAAGGAGAGCAGTATTCTTCTTGGTTTTTGGAATTAAACCAACGTGGTGAAATTCCAGTTCTCAAAATTCATAGTGAAATTATACCAGATTCCACTAGAATTATTGATTATTTAGAATACTACTTAGATTCTGGTTTGTATTACATTTATTAATTGTTGACATTGTTTGTTGTGTTAATTTTGATTGTAATGATAATAGTATTATGTCTTTTAGGATTAACACCACTAATAAATGTATCACGAGACAGTAAAGTTATTCAAAACATCAATAGGTTCCGTGATCTTCTTGAGGCACTACCAGCTGGTGTTATAACTGTGGGTTCATTCTTTCATCCTCACTTGTGTGGACGACCAAAACTGCCATTTATTTATCCTGTTAGGGAAGTGCTAAAAAGTAAGTATTAAAATTAATACTTTTTTGATTGTGGGGTATAATTAGTACTTGTTAAGGATGTGAGAGATAACTGAAACAGCTTTCCGTTATTAATTATCTCTTATTAGAAAAAAAACCTTTATTCTTATTCATCATCATTATCATCATTACAGCCCTTTTATTCTTATTGACTGAATATAATTAAAAAAAATGCTCACTTTTTAACTGCCTTCAAAAAGGAGGAAGTTCTCAATTCGAGTGTGTGTGTTTTTTTTGTATGTATGTTATGCAACATCTTCGCAGATTGTGAACCAATTTTGATGATTATTTTTTATTAAATACGTAGAGTATACTTCTAGGGTGGTCCCGTATAAATTTGGAGATAAAATTTCACCCCTAAGGGTAACAAATAATTAACATCTCTTTTAGCAATTTGAAGTCGCTTTTAACTTTGATAAAAAGTTATAATTAATTTTATTACATAAAATTTTTGCAAGTGTCAACCCATTCTTATGTTTATCTCTTTGTTGGTACTAATTATCATAAAAGCCTTATGTAAATACATTCGACAACTAAGTCTACTTCAACTGTTTCTTATATGCTTTTAGTAAATTACAATATTAAATGTTTTACAGATAGCTATGAGTTTGACAACTAGAGAATTTAGGTATTTATGGGAGCGTTTAACATCATTATCATTCTTAATGTCAATATTAATTTCACCCTTTAAAACTATAATTTTTTAAGAGCTTAGTGTCAATATGAAGTTTTCTTAGTTATCCAAGAAATTAGTAAATGCAAATAAGAGCTGTGTCATTAATATAAAATACAAGGCAATTTGCTTCACTTAGGATTTTCTCGTAAAAGTAGCGGTTCAGAACTTGTCTCGCATATACAATTACATGGTTTTGTATAGGATTATTACATGTAACCAGAGATTGGAAACCATCAACATTAGTTGTCGCAGGAGATCTGGACACTGGACACATCCTGGCCAACGACCACTCCTTTAAAGTCTTACATACGTGTAATAAAGGGCTGCGGCTGTGTGTCTCACTCTCTTACCTCTCTTAAATATCTTTAAGTGTGCTCTCTAATAATAGAGAGCCTCGTAATATGGTCGTTTGTTACCCTCACGGTGTTTGGCATTTGGTTGCGTGGTTGGAGGGTGGGCGTTGCGCGGCGGTTTGTTTTTAATTTTACAAATGGCTGCGTAAGTCCGGCGGTGATTGGTCGCATGTTTTATCGCATGACGCAGTCGCTCGCTCCTTAAGTAGAGAGCGGTTGCGTCATCGGTCTGTATAAAAGGCACTTGTTTTGGCTCGCCGCTCACTTAGCGGTTAGCCACCGTAGAGTCTATATCACCTGAGGATGCCTCGTGTAGAGGCGAAACACGTGTCGTATTATCGTCAGTGGTGTGTCTTGCCTAGTGTAGTGGTGTTGGGAGTAGCGGTGCTGGGATTAGTGGTGACGGGGATAGTGCACGCAATTGAGGGAGGGCGGGAGGTGCTCTTCATACTAGGTAAGACACATCATTTTATTTTATAACGCGGATATTTGCGAAGTAAATTTTTCTAAAAGGTTTTATATAATGGATTTCCGCAAAGTAACGCCTGATTCTATTAATTATATTTAATGAATAATTTTAAATGCAAAATTTTGTAGTAGAAACATTTATCCGGTGGGTAGTAAACTATAGCTACGAAAAATTTATCAATTTCAGTAGAGATACCATGTAAGTTAGCAACCTTATTTTTAATATTAAAACGCACAAGCACTCCAAACAACGACTGAAGTAAGGCGGCTCTTACCTTTGATTTTGGCAGCCGCATCAAAAACTAATCTTATTTTCTTTTTCTGTGCAGCAAGAAGCAGCTAATACCAGGTGCGTGTTGACGTTACTGTGTTCAGTGCTTGCTCAGCTTAACTGCTTTTTAGAAGATTTTCAATCTGTTTTGAATATACTTTAAATTCTTTATAACTATTCATTCGTTTTTTAAATTTATAATACTATTTAAAAAGTTCTTTCAACTCTCTGGCAATGGTTTGTAATCGCTTCGTCAATACTAGAGTTCTAGATAACGATTTTCGTAGAGTAACAGCAGGCACGTATGTTTAGAGTTCAAAGTGGTTTCTCCTCCGGGTCGTTGATCGTTTTCTTGGTTTCGACGCCTATCTATTCAATTGAGAAATGAGATTTTATTAAGTCTTGTCTCCTTCACAAGATTAAAATCTTATTTGGGTGACCGAACGTATCGCTTACACTGTGCTTGCGTTGCATCCTAGCAATACCCGACCTAATGTTGTGAGTGATGCTAAAAGTTTGTTTGGCTTATCGTATATGGCGCGATATGATTAAATTCCAGTTGTTCTGTCCTATAATGCCGGTTTTATTAAGTCATACGTGATTTATTCGATTGCGTCCATTAAGTGTGAACAGTCGGCCAGCTCTCCTTTTCTGACCGTTTGCATCGCTAGATGGATGATGGAAGCGCTATTGTATGCGCACTCAAACCTCAAACCGACGTTATGCCGAGTGTACAGGTCTTTAATGCGTAGTTGTAACTTTCTTGAACTCTGGCTCTTTAATTTCTGACCTTCTACGTTAACGACCGTAACGTTTACGACTTCTTCTTACAATAGGGTGATAGTGAAGTCCTTTGAGGCCATGTGTTTGAACCGGCACAATTTTAATTTTTTTTTTCGCTTTCGTCTTCATTGTGTAATAGCGTATGCGCGCGAGTCCTGCGTTTGCATTTGGCACAGCCCTTGGCATTGAGGCTTGACATTTAAAGCCTCTGCCGTTCCGATTTTCAACACTTAAAACAAACGTTTTTCCTTTCACCATGTCCCATTTTTCACTTAGTATGTAATCGTATAACGCTATTGTATAACAGGCATGCTTTTTTTCGTCTTCTTTTGAAAATCCACTGTTGCGACGAATTCTGCTGACTGCGCCACGTCTTAGCTCACTATTTGTCTGGCTATATGCACTCTTTTAGTTCTATTCTTGGTGCCCTCTTTTTAATTATATATATACTAGCCGGCCAGGCAGACGTTTTTCTGCCCTTTTCGACGAACATTCGTAAAAAAATCCTTAAATTCGTAATAAAAAAATATTGAGGGTCACTAGTCAGGATAATTTAGGAATCCACCGAGGACAAACAACGTGACACGTAATTTTTATATATAAAGATATAAAAATTACGTATATATATATCACACTTCCACTTAATTCGGGCAGCTCGTCGATATTGACGATTTCGTTATTTAGCAAATACATAGGCCGACCGAATCTCCTTTCTAAAACAATTATTATTTCCCTTGGGTCGCCTTGAAGGCTTATCGTGCTCTGCCTCGTGATATTTTGCACATCTGTAAAACGCTGAGCCGATCTCTTCGTATATAGTTTTTACTAAACGCTATCCATTCGTCCAAGTTCCCGCCTAAGTGTGCAGCTCATCGAAATATTTCGGTGCGATCGCACTATGCTTATTACTGCTCTCAATGGCGTTTGTCAGTGATGACCTTTCGCTACTTGGTGTGGTGGGTGGTGTCAACTTCATTTTCCGTTCCGTATGTCAACAAGGTATCACGCTTCTCAAATGACGACCTTTCGACCTATTCATTGTTTTCTGGTCTTAATCAGAACTAAATGGTTGCATGATTAGCTAACGCCTGTGCCTGTTACACTTTTAACCAATTGTTTCTAATTCAGCTCGCCGGCGCGCTGCTCTCAAAGACGCCACTGTTGTCTCTTTTCTTCTTGATGTCCCATCATCAGCGGTGAGCGTTGACTTTGATGACTTCTGTCTTGGTGGTTTCTTTATTCTCTCCTACTTTTACTCTCTCTCTTTCACCTCCGTTATTTGTCGATACTATCGTTGTTGCTGTCGCTTTTGTCATTGTTGTCTTTGTTTATGTAGATCCCAGTTCAAATGAAGAGTTCTCCACACTTGTGGTGTTTCTTTCTGTGCTTTCCGCGTCTTTCTGTGATCTGGTTTTCATTCTTCTTAGTGCCCTAACATCCTTATTACTCACTTGCCCTAATTCTAACGTATCTTAACACTCACTTGCCCTTATACACACTTTCATAAGCACTAACGTTCCCTAATCCTAGGGAATCGCTCGACACAGAGATAGAAACGTATAGATGGGATAATTCTGTTCTGTCCGACGTGCAAGACTGGGTGCTTAGGGATTGGCGCGAATATCAGCTCTTTCGAAAGTGCCTACAGTCACACCCAAGTGAGGTTGGCTGTGTACCGTTTGACATCGTTAAGTGGTACATAGTAAGCCACGACACCGGCCGTGTAAGGTTGAAGTTCTATTTCGTTAGAACAAAATCTTGTTACTCCGTCACTTGCCGCAATATGACACTACTTGTTACGCGAAACCAATTATTGCACAATACTGCTTGATACTTACGATGTCCGACGCGGCGCCACCAGATGCTTGACTTTTTCTTTTATTCTTGCTCTTCCAACGACCTTTAGGAAGATCAACTGGATCTTACACAACACCTCGGAAGACCAATTCGGACATCTTGGAGTACCGCTTGTTTTTGGACGCAGCTTTGGTTACACTATACGCGTTGCGATGCCTCTTAATATACATATATCGTCACTCGGGCTTAGCTTTTCATTGACGTCCGTCGAGTTGGAGGTTGATATTTTTTTTTTTTTACAGAAAGGATACATTATTATAAGCACACAGGCATAAAGAGACAGTACGTGTCAGAAAGTCAGAAAGAGAGTCAGAAAGTACGTGTCTCCGAATGTTGAAAATTTGCGTGTGTGCTTATAATAATGTAACCTTTCTGTAAAAAAAAAAAAAATCATCAACCCCCAACTCGAGGGACGTCAATGGAAAGTCGTACCGTCACTCGTTCACAAGTTTAATATCTAATAACCATCTACAATTTTTTACTGTATTAATAACAGCTATCTTTTGCGCTATACACGTTTAAACCGAAAGATGTCGTTTGGTGACTATAGTCACCATGGACAGGTGAGACAATAATTTTTTTGGGGACTGTAATCACCGTGGACGGTTGAGTAGAAGTTTATTTGCTTAGGTACGGTCGCCTTTGTGTCGCGCTGCCTCGACACTTCTCCCATCTTGTCAAAGAAGCCGCCGCGACATCAAAGGTCTCATGCGGCGTACACTCGCACAAGAATCTGGCATTTTAAAACGAAACGTCGTATTGAAAGTTTTTGTTGACTCTGCTACGTATACAGAAAATTATTTTTCGTCCTTGGGACGACAGTGAAGTGCTTCAAAATGAAATATTGAACGTGATGACGTTGGATGCCTTATTACAAATACAGGTGGAAATGACTCCGACACTTCGAGTAATGAAGAATAGTGTCTATTGCTTTCGTTTATGTTTACCTGCCTACTCATATTGTTCATTTAAATTGTCTTTGCTATGTAACTTGTATGTGTTTATTATTTATGTTCGTATTTTATTATAATAACCATAAGAAAAAAGTAGTATTATATTTTATTCTCAGAACATTTATTTAAGAAACACAGTAAAAAAATAATAAAATAAAAGCAATATAATAAGTGCGCCTCCGGGTGTACCGACATTATCTTAGTGGACAGACCATACTGAAAGTTATTACGACTTTGTAAATCTTATTAAGTCTATTTTTATGAATTGCTTGAAGCCAGCAAAAATTAAATTTTTGACAGCAGCAAAGAAAAAAAAACGGAATAGCAAACACTGTCACAAATTTTAAAGCTAATTTAACTTTTTATTGTTTTTTTTTTCACATTTCGTTCCAATGTACATTTCCTAATATGAAGTTAATAAGCTTGGGAATTGTTTGGTTTATGAAATTCGGACAGCCAGCAACCAACCCCTGACATTTGTCAAAATGGAGGTATCTATTGTTTATGAAATGCTTAAATGTTGAATTCAACACGGCGCTTGATTCGTCCCTGAAGAGATCTTTACTATGAATTCCAGTGTTCACTTGAACTGTTTCTAGACTTCTAGGAAATTCCAATATAAAAAGTTTTACTGATGGTTATTAGTTTGACAACTAGCTATACACAATAATATGTATTGTTAATCAAACTAATAAGTAGAGCTGAATTTTTATGCGTACAAATCGCTCGACGCTGTCCGATAAAGAAAATAACGTTAGTTACCTGAGATTGCTAATGTGTATTTACCTTTACAGGCGGAGATTTGGTTAGTTTCAAAAATCTGAGGAAAATAGCAGAAGAAAATCCTAAAGCAAAAAGTATTTTGTTATATAAAGCTGAAATTCAAGAAAGGAAACATGAAATATTAATAAACGAAGAGGAATATACAAAAGTTTTGAATATAGTTGATTCAGTACTTACTCAAGTAGAAGAACAGTTAAAAGACCAGAGTGAAGGTTTGTGGTTAATTGTAATATTGATATATATTTTATCTCACGAAATTATAATTTTAATATTTTTGTCACTTAATTTCCAGAAAATTGGTTGTGTTGTGAAAATTTTAGTATTGCTGATATTAATTTGGCTATATTACTCCAGCGTCTATGGGAACTTGGACTAGAAGGAAGATTTTGGACAAATGGCAAAAGACCTCATATAGAAAATTATTTCAATCGTGTTAAACTTCGTGATTCTTTCGTTAAAACTATTCCCGGTCTACATGTTCACTTGAAAATGATAATTACGTCACAACCTCCCACTTATATAGCGGCAGCTGGGGTTGTATCTGTAGGAGTTGTCATTGCTATTGCCTATATATTAAAAAAACTCATATAATCTGTAAATCAAGAATAAGTTTGTTGATTCTTAAATATACTTAAACAATTCAATAAAACTATTTTTACGGATTTTGCTGTAAAAAACCCGAAAGGTCGGGAATGAAATAAGTAAATTAATCGCGATAAAATCTGTAAAAATAATTTTATTCAATGTAGTAGTGTAGTAGTGTTTGCGTAAATATAAGAAATCATTATACCTAAATAATCTCATATATTCGATGAATATTCGAGATTCAGGTTTTTTTTTTATTAAAGTTAAAAGTGATAAAGTCTGTTAAATAAGTTTATTTAGTGTGCTGTACTGGAATAAATATTATAAACCAACATTATCAAATGTGTACACCTTAGTAGATTTTATTACAATAATGTTTGTTCAATTAAAATCTTAATAGAATTTACGAATTTGCAAATCATTTTTCAGTATTATAGGATAAGTTATTAAATTACTGTAGTACCTAAGAGTTTTTCTCTTAAATAAGTGCTTATATGTTTATTTGTATAAACGTTCAGTATTATTCAAAGTCTAATTTTCATTAGTCTCAATCATCACTATAAATCAAATAAATATCTAAAATCTTTGACATAATATATTTTATTTAAATTGTACATAAATTTGTACCATGTACTATTGAGTATTCTGTGCTATTAGTGCTTTCAATTCATAGCCAAATGATTGATAGATAGACAAGTAATTCCTCATATGCAAAAGAAGAAGTAAAATAATATCAGGGTTATATTATCGTCCTTGCGGCTGCTAAACCCAACAAAAAAATCTAAGCTAATAATTTTATGTATTTTATCGCGTTTAATTGAACTTGTTTAACTATTTTTCATTCCCAAAATTTCGAGTGGTTTACAGAACGCATGGAGGGGAGGGAGGCTGGTTCAGCGCTGTAAAGTACTAAAAACATACATAAAATTAGTTTTATTCATTGTCGAGTATTCGTAGTTCTAAGATATCTTCTCAGTCAAAGTCAGTTTTAGTCAAAGTCTTATAAAGAACTTTCCTTAACGTGCCCGAGGAGTAGAGAGCCAGTGTTGCCAAGAAATTACTAGATGACGTAGCTAACGAGTTATTAAGAACGTGATTTTGCATGGACAATGTTTGGCGTGTTCAACTTTTTTTAACAACTCTTCTACGATACCCATACCCGGACACAATGTCAAATCTATGTTAAATTGTCAAAAAAATGGCAAATCTGTATTTCGCATGGTGAGTGTAGAGACCCTTTTTTACTTAAATCGAGGTATTTCATCTTAATAGATTATTAATCGAAGATAAATGTAAATGTCTATGGGCCACAGCATCAACTGATCAGGTGGACATGTACTCGTTTGTCACCAAAAAAATGAACTCAGAGGTTTTTCGTCAGTGTCACGCCTGTTAACCGATAGAAGATATGGAGCTCTACATCGCCTGTATTGTTATCGACTTCATTACATCTAAGCGTACCACCTATCATAAGCATCACAGAAAATTTTATTAAAGTTGTTAATGAGATAAGAAAAATTATCAGTGGTCGACTTATTCCCTTAGCCCAGGGGGGCATCAAAACAATAGCGTCAGTATCAAAAAAGAGACGACACTAAACATCTGCTTGTTTAAAACGTAGTGATTTTAATTCTTTATTTAACTCTTTATTTGCTTACGCAATATAACATCGCTGATCTCGCGTTATATTTTAAACTACACAAAGAATGAGAAAAAATGTGGTGGAAAATAAGGAGACCGATGGTCCGTCTCAGATCATGGTAGCTCAAAAGAATTCGAGGCATCTCTTATATAGATTTTTATAAATAATTTCGCGAAGTCCGTAAAACATTGTAATACGAGGGCACTGAAAATTTCGGGAATCAAGGAAGTGACACAACATTACTATTTAAAAATGTATTTATTGCTTTTCGAAATATTCTCCGCGAAATTTGACACATTTTTCCATACGATGGAACCAAGGGTCTCCAAAATGGCCGTTTTGTAGGCGTCCACAGCTTCTTCAGGTAATGAAAATCTCTGTCCACGCAATTTATTCTTTATTTTAGGGAAAGTATAGAAATCATTAGGGCTTAGGTCGGGGCTGTACGGCGGATGGTCTAATAATTCTATGTTTTCTTGCTCTAAAAACTCTTTTGTTCTGTGTGCGGTGTGAGAACTCGCATTGTCGTGATGGAGGATGATGCGGCGGTTGCAGTTCTCTTTATGGAGTTCAGAAACGACCTGTGGTAAACAAATGCTAGCATACCATTCTGCATTAACCGTTCTTTGTCCCTCAAGAGGAATAGTCGTAACATGGCCGGTTTTGGAGACAAACGTGGCCACCATTTTTTTTGCAACACTCCGTGAACGAACAATTTTTGTTGGCTTTAACTCATTTTCGAACACCCAAACTCGTGACTCGTTTTTTGTTTCGGGTTCGTACGCGTATATCCAGGATTCGACATCTGATACGATGTTGTATACAGCATTTAAGGATCCTGCATGGAATCTTTCGAGTTCTGACGCACCAAGTAACGCGAGCCGCTTTTTGCTCTTCACAGAGCGAATGCGGTATCCATCGGGAAAACAACTTTTTTACACCTAATTGTTCATGCAAGATTATTTGTATTTGACTCATGCCAATGTCTAAAGTTGCCTGAATTTCGCGGTATGTCACATGTTGATCTTCTTCAATCAGCTTACGCACAGCATCAACGTTTTCTTGGGTGACTGCAGTGTTTGGACGACCTTGACGGGGATCATCACTGAGCTTGACACGTCCACGTTTAAATTCAGCAAACCAGCGATAAATTGTGGTTTTGGATGGGGCTTCATCACCAAATGCAGAAATCATCCGGTCAACACACTGTTTTTGTATTAAACCACTTCGAAAGTCATAATAAATCATCGCTCTTGAATTTTCTCGAGTCAATTCCACTTTCTCAACGACTAAACAAGTTTGACAAAACCTTGTGACAAGACCGAGAATCTTTTTTTAAATAAATAAATGCTATTCGATTTTTAAAACCAAGGACTTTTCAATTAAAATGATTTTAATATGACAGGAACAGTGGAAATATTCCATTCCCGATACTTTTAGTGCAGCCTATGTAGTAGCGAATGAGGGTGGAAAGTGACGCGGAGCAACTCTTTCATGAATGTTGGGCACTATGCGCTGATTTTCCCTGATTCTTTGAACAGTACCTAGGATTGTCCGGCCGCTAGTAGGGCAGACGCGAGTTGCGCCGTATCTCTCACGATAAGTACGCAGAGTTAACGCTGAATTTTGGCGACAATCGCCATATAATAAAATCATGTCCGTATACTCTGTGGAACTGTAAAAATGCTGTTGTCTTGGCATTTTGCGCCAACACACGTGTTACGGCCCGCAGCTGCTCTTGCAAAGGTTCAATATCCGGGGCCCATAAGCGGAAGGTTCAACGGGCAGCCGCGGGTTCGAGCCTTGTCGAGTTCGTGTTCGAGAAATACCCTATCATAATAAACTATATGGGAGAATGCTAGAAACACATAGTACGTACCAGTATCAGAAGCTAACTTCGCACCAAGGCTCGGTCAGGCCGTGAGTGGGTGTAAGGTGAATGGCAAGTAGTGTTCAGTGATGTGTAAATGTCTGAGACCCTGACCAACTTAGGCGACCAGCAGCGGCCGAGTTCCAGGATGCCCCCCAATGCTGCATCGCTCCAGCAGGCTCCACCGCTGGACCATTTCTTTCTTCATTGTCACTATTTCAGTCTATTAGCTTCATTGTACATTTAACTAACTTAAACTCGCCTAATTCCACATTCATCGTAGAATCGAACACGTGATACCCGACTCAGTAAGGACAGTAGTTCGAAATTCGGCATTCAATGTCCCGGATTCACTTATCACAAAATTATCAATAGGGAACTAAAGCGATCTCTTAATGAGTTATACGGTTCAGCGTTAAACACAACTAAGTTCCTTCATTCGTCACCAAACACCACGTCGCGAAAAGAATTCAAAATACGCCTCGTTGACACGTAAACTAACGAACCAACCAACACACAAAAAGGGGCACTTAACGCGACAGCACTATTATCATGATTTCCATACAATCAACCGGGAGACGCTCTCGACCAAGGAATGCGCGGTTCGAATCCTAGACCGTATATCTACTCGGCGCGCGCGTGCACAATTCCGCATCACCCGAACAAGTTAAATATTGCAAAATTCACATATCCACGTAGCGAAGTACACGCCTAAATCTAACTATCTGGACCCTACAAGGTCGCGTGCCTTCGGCCGCGATGACCTAGATACGCGGCTTAAGCGAACAACTCTCTCCTCTTCTTTCAAAAATGACCAAATTTGGGCATAAACAACACGCGTACACACAAAAGTCAAGTAGTGTCAATATCACAGTGAAAAAATAATAAAAATAAACGTACTTAAACACTATTTACACACACAAAGTCAATTACCTAATAAGTGTCTATTTCACCGTAAAGAAATTGTTTGACTAATTGTATTTATCTTACGAAAAATAAATCACTTAAAGCAATGCGCGTAACAGCGAAACGCACCTGTATTCTGGAAAAATTGCGGTGAACTGAAAGCCAAACTTCCAAATTCCAAAATGGCGAAAATAATAAAAGTAATAAATAGGGCGGCCACAAGGTGTAGTTATCGTTTATCTACATTTGAACACAAGTATTTTTGATTTGATAACAATCGACAAGTTATTGATTGTTAAAAAAAGTTTATTTTTGTACAATTGAACTTACGAAACTACCGTTTTGTGCCTTCCCAAGAAACGGGTATGTATGGCTTTTTTAATTGGTTGTTTTTATGGTTTTTTTTTATCATGTCAAAATAATTTATTATCTTTAAATCTACAAGAACACACTTAAAAAAAAGTTTTAACGTTTAGCTTTAAATACTTAGGTCGATGTGTTTTTAGAATTATCATAAAAATACGATAATTCTAAAAAAACATGCCCTAAGTGTTTAAAGCTAAACATTTTTTTATCGATTATTACTCC